AAAAGTTGATTATTTACCTGTGAGGGAAAGTCCAAGATTCGAATTATTCTCATTAACATAGAGGTGTACAAGATGTGGGCAGGTACAAGATGAGAGGGGTGTGGGCTGTCATGCGACACAGGGGGAGGGGGAGATCTGAAGGTGCCCGAGTTTCTAAGTTGCGTCGGTCCTGTACGTTGTAGTCTAAAAAAAATGATAACTCCACCATATTGCTTGCAACAATTGTTGCCAGACTTTAAAAAATCGTAATGCACGGCAGACGGCAGATTCAATTCTGAAACACAAGATTTAAAAAATGAGCAACAAAATAGTTCACGTCACATGGGAATCATAAAACGCTGATCATTACTGTCTGTCTCGTTCTATTTCTGTCCTGGTTGGCAAATCAGACGCGTTGGATCATTCCACCGGCTTGTTTCTTAAATTGAAAGCATAAAATATTTCTCCTACTTACTTTGTACTTTTCATTATTATTTTTTGAGATTTTTTAATCAACGAGTTATCTGTGTCAATACATCATTTCTCAGACTTTCTCGTAAAGAAAATCTACTCTTTGATGATCTTGTTTACCTTATCTTTAATAAATGTTGATAAATGGATCATGTAGCTATGAAGTTTTGCACAAAGACTTGAGAATTCTAATCACATTTGGTCTGTAGAGCAGAAGTTGGACAACTGGCACAGCGGAATAAAAATTAAAAAAGAATTGTTTCATGATAATTCCCGTCCATGTGATGTGATTATCTCTACTTATGTAGGAGCAGGTGAACATTGGAGAGGCGCGATTAGATCGTTATGGTCAGGACAGAAAGTACAGCTGGGGATGACCAGAACACATCACAGCCTCAAGCTGACAGCACTGTTTTGTTTTTATGAATGTTAAATTATATTTTATTTATAAGCAAATTAAGTAAGAAATATAACAGACTGTTATAATTACAAATACAATAGTTTCAAAATTGCTCTTTGCTTCACGGCTGAAAACTACAGCTCTAACCCCTTTCACTCTGAAAGTGAAAAAGAAAATGAATTCAGCATTAAATTTGACAAATTACCTCCTAAAGTGACAAACAGTGTATCAGTATAATGAAATCAGCCATCCATATCCTCTCTGTTAATACTCCAGTTTACAGCACACTCACAGCCGGCGCTGGCATTTCTTGTTAAGAGCCTATTTGAATTAAAGAGTTCATGTTGTGACCCTGTCGCGCTGGAAACAGGTAGTTGAGGAACCATAACCCACTCTCCCCTAACGTTTAGGGATTAAGTACTCCCCCCCCCCCATCACATCTCCCCACCCACCCCGGCCCCCCCCTCTCCACCCCAGCCCCCCTCTCCACCTACACCGAAATCTGTTCCTACTAAACACGAATAGAAATTCTCATTTAAGCAAACGTTAGTCTCCCCAAACAAAGTAGGTCACGTTCCATTAATATATTTGTTGGACTAGTCAACCTTTTTGGAGGTTACGGGTGTGGAGCTCTGTTGTTTGCTCTCGGGGATGTCTTGCATTTAAAATTTTATTCAGAGAAAGAGAATGCCTGTGACATAGGTTTCATCACTCTCTAAAGGGGTTTTGTGTTAGACCCAGGTTGTCAAAGCTTTTGGAGTGGTAAAAGCGCTTGCATGCTGAAATATTGAAAACGCAAAATCAACGGCATTGCGGAACACCCCGTAACCGTGTACCAATCTACGTGGCTCAAGGTCACTAATCAGAAGTGAGCTAAGCTGAAGGTCGACCAATGTATTACTATTACGCACGTAAAGAAGGATTGGTCCGGCTGAGTCCTACTTCCACCGCTTAAAAATGCATATGCGCCGTGAAGCGAGAATCCCTACCTCCCCCTTCCCCTCCCAACCTCAGAAATCTACATGAAGGTGTCAGCTGAAAGTTCTTCACCGATTGATTTGAGATTGTGACACCAGGTTGCATTAAAATACGCGAATGTTTTTATACAAGAGTGTCGAACAAAGCACGAACTACCAGTTTCAGTGACGATCACATCTACATCTTGGTTTTGTTTTCCGACGTTCCGATTTCTTGTTCGTTGCCGCATTCCCGAACTGTGACTGTTGACCTCATAAATCGGATTGTAATAGTTGTTGTGGTTGCCCGGGTGGTTACAACGTCGGGCAGTCACGCGGGAAACTCGGATTCGACCCCCAGTAAGGTGATGGAGGTTGTTTTTTTTTTCCTGTGGGGGGCACAATTAAACATTCTGACCTGAACAGTCCTTGGCAATAGCACTAGCCGTGCGGCTTCTCTAGCTCACAACCCACTGTCTACACTGACTTAGACATGAGGTAAAACAGGCAGTGGTGATAGTTTTTTTTTTTTTTTTTTTGCAAGTTGTGGTGGTGATAGTTTTCTTTTTTTTTTAATTTGTGTGGTACTTGTGGTTGTAGTGGTAATAGTACTGGTACTCAAAGGGTGCTGTGGTAAATATTATACTGGCTGCATTTACTTATAATTACAATTCCTACTACCCATTTTAGTCTAAGTGGACACGGATGCCGAGGTAAGTTTTTAAAAGAATTGTGATAAATTTAAAATTCTGGGGTCAGGGAAAAAGGGGTAGGTGGACTGAAAAGGGGAATGGGGATTATGACAGAAACTGTTAACTGAAAGAGATTAAAACTTCTGTTTTTTTCAAGACGTACAGTAGTAAATGCAAAGCTCTTTAAAAAAATACGAAAGCATTAGACTGTGATAAACAAATAATCCTTTTGTACATTTTTGTAATACCCAATAATACATTTTAAACGACCGCTAATATAAGAACTAGGGCTGTACCGAATATTCGCTTCGTATTCGCTTCGGGGCCGAATAGTGGACCTAATAGCTATTCGGTATTCGGCCGAATAGTGGTGGTCGGGCCGAATACGAATAGTGATTTCTGCATACACTGCGATGGACTGAAATAACTCTCTCATTAATTATGTCACAATTTATAGCCGACTTTTCTTGATTTTCGCCGCGGCACCCCTGGCATACGCACCCAGTTTTAGAAAATCTGCTGTAATGCCTCGGAGTCAGCAGGCGCTGTTACCAAGCAACCGGCTCGCAGTTTTCCGCTACGACAGATTTAGGCAACGCTACTGTTGTGTTAAAGAAGGCATGAAGAAACTTGAAAGTGTATCTGTGTGTGTGTGTGTGTGTGAGAGAGAGAGAGAGAGAGAGAGAGAGAGAGAGAGAGAGAGAGAGAGAGAGAGAGCATGCATTTTTTCGTTCTTTCGGGGTGTCTTTGCCCAAATCAAATTGAAGATATTGCGAACGAGAATATGGAAGTGCATTTAAATTCAGAGAACGAACGCCTGAACGAACGAGGATTTAAATGCGAATTTGGCACATTACTAAAATTTAAAAAAAAAAAAAATAGAACAGGCAAAAACTGCATTTTATTTTTAAAAAAACAGAGCATCTTATGCAATATATCTTTGTCTTGCTTACTACATACATCTAGTTTTAACATATGGCTATGAGTCCTGGACAATCGGTAGCCAGGCCAAACAAGTTTTTGAGGCCTCAGAGGTGTAGTTTTACAGAACAATGCTTAAAATACCTTGGACAGTCTAAAAAAAGCAACCACTAGGTTTTGAAAGAGGCGGGAGCCCAAAGACAACTAATCGCAGACATCAGAAGGAGACAGTCATCATTTTTCGGCCATCTTATAGGAAGAGTGAAAATCGAACATGTGGTGACCACTGGAAAGATTTGTGGAGGGAGAGATAGAAAAAGACAATAAGAGAAGATTCTTGACAGTCTTGTTGCATGGCATGGAGGTGTGTCAGCACACGAACTGATACATGCTGCAGGAGATCGCAGATTGTGGCGAGGCAAAATCGCCAACACCAGTCGGCAAGGCACCTGATGATGATGATACACTGTTCGTACTCGTATTCGTATTCGGCCGAATAGTTGGTCCCAGTATTCGTATTCAGCCGAATAGTGAAAATCACTATTCGGTACAGCCCTAATAAGAACACACTTATATGTTGCGTCAGCACTAATTGAGACCATATAGACCTAATATGACCTTACGGTTAAACAGGGGTCTCTGGGATTCGCGAGTGTGAGTCATAGCTTTAAGAACGGTGGCACTTTGTGTCACTGGGTATTAATCGCCCGTTGTACCGTCGTGGTATGTTTGAAAGTCACTCACTCATTCAATTAATTGCTAATGAAATTTATATATATATATATATATATATATATATATATATATATATATATATATATATATATATATATATATATATATATATATATATATATATATATATATATATATATAAAGATATATATACACACACACATATATATATATATATATATATATATAACGCTGGGATGGCGCCGTGGTGAGCCAGACTTTTTTTTTAGAATTGACAGTAGCTCCCAGGTCATCACCGCCCTAAATGGGTACCAGGTAGAGTCATCGGAAGTAAAGGCGGCCTGGCTGATGTTGATCATATCACTCACCAAGTGCCGATTGGCCTATAATATATAGGCCTAGTCCTAAATGCCCTATACGTATGAAGGCGTGAAAAAAGGGCCCTATAGACACAACACTCCTGATGGCGTGGGAAAAGGTTCTTGACTGTACACAACTTAAAGAAAGACATAGTCAATGCGTTCGGTCATGTGATGAGAAGAGAGGCACTGAAGAACATCGCGAGGGCTAGAAAGATGAACGGTAGAAGAGGCAGGGGCAGACCATTAGAGAGGCGTTGCTTGACAGCCTTCAGGCCACAGTGTAATTTCATATGTGGAATTTAGTCAGAATACCAGAATTGAGATCTTTTGCCAGTGCAAGGCACATGGTTTTGATGGCTATTCTCCGGTCTATTGACCAAAACGTTAGAGCGTTTGACTCTCAGGCAGAATCCCCCCCCCCCCCTCTCTCCCCCTTTTCCCTCCCAGCATGCACCTCAAACATGGTAAATACTGTAGCTTTTTATTAATAGTTCATAAATTTTTACTTGTTTGTCTGTTGAAGGCAATGGCGTACAGCTTGTTCAGAAGAAGAAGACTCTCTATCCTAAATGGAACTCAAGCTTTGATGCCCACCTGTACGATGGACGAGTCATCCAAATCGTTCTCATGGACAGACCAAACAAATTGATTGGTGATGTCAACGTAGCAGCTAAAGTCCTGTCTGATGCGTGTGACAGCACAAGTGGCCGCAGTGGACCAATCTGGGTGAGTTTAATTGTCTGAAAACATTGCTGAGTCGCAGTTGTTGTTTTATTCAGAATATAGCTCTCATCACGTTCAGCGCCTAACCATGGCACTCTCATCTTCTCTCCCGCCTCGTGCACTTTCATATACATGGAGTTATTTATATCTTGTGCTCATCTTCGTGTTATTCGGCCCCTGCCCCTTCTTCCTGGTATCATGCCTTCTGCTAGTATTTTAATATTTAAATTATCTTTCCCATTTTGTGTTTGTGATCTCTCTGGCATTGGGGTCTCACCATCAGATCGCTGAGTTTCATTTTTGACTTCCTTGATAAGTTTGATAATAATGTGGTAGTTTCCCCTTGCTTTCCACATCCAAAGGGTTTTAGACGATGTCCTCAGCCTTTGGCAACCTTTTAGAGCTCCGGGGTAAGTAAGTGCACTGCTCTGTGATACACCTGCTGACAGTCAGCAGTATAGAAATAGTATTACAATATGAAGAATCTATAGAGTTTAGACACTTGTGTTGAGTCTTCAGTCGCAAATCCATTTTATTTTGCCTGCCAGTGGTTTTCAAATGAAAAGGTTGTATGCCTCTATGTTCTAAACGGTTTGGTGTTTCCATTGGAATGCCAACCCACCAAACCTGGGATCTCTCTACTGTATATAGAAAAAAAATATGGGGGTGACTGCAGTCAAGCTAATAATACCATGGAATTGCAGTTAAATGTGGCTAAAGAGCTTTTAAAAAGGGGGAAATATGACTAAATGTGATCAGGTAGCACCAGTCTCCATTATACCTTTTTTTAAACGGTTTTACTATTATCACATTTTCAGATAACTATTTTTTTAAATTTTATTTTACATTATTACTTTATCAAATCTCTTTACAGTACCATTTATGAATCATTAACATTTGTATTTCTTTTACCCTTTTATTTCTACTATTCTGTTATACCTTACCAATAGTATTTTTTATTCTTTGCGTCATTTTTTTCCCTACTTTTATTTTATTTCATTTTATTTACTTCACATCACATTTTTTTTAAAGTGACTGACGTCACCCCTGAAAAATTTTAATACTCTCCTCTTTGTTACTGTTGTTTATGTAGTTCATTACTTGTTCAAGAAAGGCCACCGACCGAAGCGTTGTTTTGTTTTGTGCACGTTTTTCTGCTTCCTCGTTTTGTGAAGCTTTTTAGTCACATTTCACTGGAATTCCTGTAAAGAGCATGTATGTAGCTCATGTTCAGTATTCTGATGCTAGCAGCGTTAATATTAAACAACGCCTACTTTTCCTTTTCTATCAAGGGCTTGTATTAATCCTCATTGACCTCTTGGCCTCCTCACTGTCAGCAAAACCCAGCTAGAAAGACTGGACCCAGTACAAAATGAGGCCACGAGTCTACCCGGTTGCACAAAAGACACCTCCTGCAACGCCAAGCGTTATATCCTGGGTTTGCCGACCATGACTAGCAGAAACAAAGTGACACAGGTCAAGGCGTACATGAGGGTATCTGTAGACATTAGCCACCCATTGCACAAAGCTATACACAACACACCAGGAACGTGTCTCGAAAAAGGCCGCTCCTGGATGGCAAAGTATTATATTTACATCGCCTACTAGACACAAGTCGACGTCAGTGGCTCTCGAATTGCGAACGTGCTTCATAATGCTGGGGTGTCGGATTCGATCCCAGCTGCTTCCTTGCGCCTTGCGAAGCTTTTGACAGTGGTAGAGAGAAGCCGATCGTCCAGAAACTGGACGTAAATTTGCCTAGAAACACCACAAAAGCTAAAAAAAAAATGGGGCTGGTTGTGCAATGTCCCTTCAAAAGATAAGCAACTTACTTTTAACTACAATATGTGCCCCTTTCGACCTAAAGCGCCAATTAAGAAAACGTTAGATTAGTCACTGTTATGACATTCTTGTTAAGTGGGGCTAAGTCTGTTATTTCTCTCCATAAAGATGCCCTGGAATTTGAAGGGAATACATCTGTTGCTTATTAACAGAAAGAAACACTAACAGTTTTACAATACTGAAGCCAGTCGGACTTGATGGTTACCCTAAATTTCCTGAGGCGTCACAAGTCTACAGACATAGATGGCGCTAAATGGCAGTTGTGTGGTCTCTAGGCATGGTGTTTGCCTCGGGTGGTAGAGGTTCTAGGATCAATTTCCTGTAAGGGCTGGGATTTTTTTCACTCTGACGCAGACTTTAGTATTTCCCCTGGTCTCTGGGTAGTGAGGTCGGACGCCCGTGTGCATTGTGGCGCACGTAAAAAAAAATCCCTTAGCCTAGCGGCGCTGCCCAGACAAAATTTAGAGTTTAAAATCTACCCAAAGTATTTCAGGATTCTCGTCGGTGCTACAGAGCCTGTGCAGTGTGCTCAGCTTATTTAGACTCAGACTTAAGTTAGAAGAAGAACGGAGCACTTTTCGTGCTACCTGTGTGCCGTGATGTTGATCTGTTGTTCAGACTTCAAACTTTAAACAGATGGCACTAAATTCTGTTTAACGAGTACATGCCTTTCAAAGCGATTATTTATTTCTTGACTACAGCTTTATAAATTTTTACTATGTATTTGTTTATAGTTCTCTCTGTCTCTCTCTCTCTCACACACACTTTCTCTCTCTTTCTCTCTCTCTCTCTCTCTCTCTTTGTATGTGTGTGTGTCTCTCTCTCTCTTCTTTCTCTCTTTAGCCCTCTCCCTCTCTCTCTCTCTCTATTTTCTCCTCCTCCCCACCCCCTTTTACTGTGTTTGTTACAATGTGTAAATCGACAAAATCGTAAAGTACAACTCGTCAGCTATACAGAAAAACAGTCCCGAGTGAAAATGTTAAATGTTGCACCTGGAAAGCCTTCACTAGTATACAAATGAAACAGACTCTGAAATATCACATTTTGAAACACCACAGACAAATGGCCGACATTTTTCAGAGCCGTCGGAACGTCTTAAAGCACAATTAAGAAACTAAATCTAGGGTGGGAGTGAGATAGAATGAAATAATGAATTTCATATAGGGTCTAGAAATGGGCACGCAGGCCCGTCTAACATTCTGCCATTTTGGACTTAATTTAGTTATACTTTATTTAATTTAGGCATCTTTTAATAAGTAATGACAAACATTATCGACAAAACAGTTAAATATTTGTTATAATGCGCTCGAATGATACTAACATTTCTTATCAATATTAATTCCTAATATAATCATTGTCTGCAGCGTGCTTTGTTCCATACATAGTGGTGTTACATTTTCTTTACAGTAAACAAAGCAGAGTGAGAGAAAGAGAGAGAGATACCATGCCGCAGGGGCAATACGTGGTCTCTACAGTAATTTCTAGATTGTGTGATATTAAAAGAAGAAAACGTATTCCTAAATAATGTCCACAGTAAAAACTGGCTGTCGCCCAAAAATAACAATATATGATGAAGAAATTGACGATGTCACAAATTTTGAATATCTGGGCTCTATAATAAATAGCAATGGAGACTGACAGAAATCAAAAGGACGATGGCATAGCAAAGCAATGATTAAACAGCATTAAAAGGCAATGGTTAAGCACTAGCAAGGAAATCAACATTACACTTTTGGGAGCATTCATCTTCCCTGTAGCAACATACTGATGTTAATCGTGGACTACCTCCCAGTCCTTTAGAAAGAAAATATGGAATTTTGAATTTAAATGCTATACACATATTATCAGAATACCATGAACAAAGAAAAGAAGAAATACTGACATTTTAAAAGATCTGAACATCAAGGAAGATTGGCTAATAAACAGCATCTTGTCTCGGAAGCTGAAATATTTTGATCATGTCAAGGGCCATGGCGGATTAGGGCAAAAAATAAAAGCCAAAGACATGGTACCAGGAAGGAGCGGCAGGGGCCGACCAGCACAAAGACGGGCACATGATATAAGTGACTCCTTGAGTATGAAAGTACAACAGGTGGGAAAGCTGGTGAGAGAACTAGTTTCTTTCAGGCAGACCCTGATGAGAGCGAAATTCTGCAAAGGACTTGCTACATGAAAAAAGATCTTATTCCTGACCTTAATTGGTCTGAGAAACTGTTCTTAACTAGCGCGGGTCTTGCTAGTCATACTCGCTATCGTCATAGGCTGTGTTTCTTTTGCCTACCCCAGAGCACCAAATAACACTATTGCAAAGAAAGCCGAAACGGTTTTCAATCAATCATCAGTCAGTTGCACTAAATCTAGGGCTAATATACTAAATGCTGCCAAAACGTGATGATAGGACCACTCCCCCCCCCCCTCCCCTTACACAAGGGAGCTGAATGGTCGTAGAGCACTAGGCAGACCAAGTAGGCGATGAAGAGATAATGTCCAGACAGACCTGCAAACACTTGATGTCACCATCTGGAAAAAGAAGGCCTACCAGAGAGATGACGAGGGGCGGGTTTGAGGTTTGAACTACGGATCAACAATATGGCAAACGGGCAGTAACCCATGAATGCTCCGTTCTTCGTCTAACTCAAGTCTGAGTCCGAAGAAGCTCAACACAGCGAGGATCCTGAAATACTTTAGGTAGATTTTTAATTCAAATTGTGTCCGGGCAGTGCCGTTAGGCTAGGCTACTCTTTCAGATTTCTAAATGCCAAGGAATAGTTAACGTGCAAAACAATGCACACGGACGACTGATCTCACTACGAGGCGGACACCATTCCTCGAGATTACGAAGCTATTGAGGCGGGTGATATCTGCAGCAATGAACCTCAAGGGCTCGGAATGTTGAAGAAGATCTGTACATTGTTCTTCTTGCTCCCTTTGTTTTTGGATCTTTTTTTTTTTTTTATGCTATACCAGCGTGGTGGGCAATGAATAGGCAGACAGATTGGCTAGATCCGCACCACTGGGTGGTGAACTGATACATGACAAGGCAGATGCGGTAAAGGCCCTTTGGGAACAAGCAACGGAATCAGTAGAGAAAGAAGATTATTATGGCCTGGAGAGAATGAGGCATCTGGGTGTAACCAGAGGGTCTGGCCGGCTCACTACACTCAGAGGAAAGGCAAGACGGACTTTTAACCAGATTGTGACCGGTACCATCAGTATTGGAACTCTGTGCTGGCTGCTGAAGATGAGGACGGAGCATGCATGGAAATGCCCCGAGTGCTGTGATGTCAATTTTTGACTCAACTCAACTCAGTTTCGCCACAGCTCATTTAATTCCTGTTCATGTCTTGTTGTGTCTTCAGCTTGCACCATCAAAGACCTTGATCTTTTGTGTAAAGAGCAATATATATTGGACAAAAAGAAATGACGAATGCTATATAACCGTCAATAAAGGGCACAAGTTTTTTTATTTTATATTTTAAAGTCCTCACCCTGGCTGGACTTCAGAGACGTAATATAACCTTACGTTTAACCAGGGGTTTCTTCTGTTACTATAATATTGTATAGTCTGCCATGAGATAATATTCAAATAGTCTGTGATTTGCGGTGTATTTGTAGCACTGGTTTTGATTGGTTGTGGAAGATGATTCAAAATGTGAGCTGTGGAGTACACTAAACTGAAGAGAACAAACAGGCTAACTGAACATTTGACTGACAGACAGATAAAAAGAGAGACACAGACAGAACGACAGGGACCGTTCACACATAATACATGTATGATTGAAATAGTGTATCAAAACCTTCCTGTGGTGTTACACACATCAGCTAAGTATGACACAAGCCACTGCGTAAGGATTGCATGCAAATGGCAGAGACGCCACAATCCAATTGGCCATGAGCCTTGTATCCTCGACTGGTTCGTTTACTGATGTTCATGATTTAACGTCAATGGCAACTGAATCCAGACATCTCCCCAAGAGATTTAACAATGTTATCTTGACTTGTGTGTCCCTTCCACAGCTGGACATGAAGCCGGTGGGTCGATTACAGGTTCAGGTCCGGTATTATGCGGAGAATCACGGCGAAATGGGAGGTCAGTTTTACATTCTTGTTGCGTTTTTCTTCTCTTCTTTCATTTTTTTTTTCTTGACCTGCTCACTTTTCAGGGTCTATCTGCACATGTTCTCAGTCTGATCTAGGTGAGAGATGGTGATGTCACGTTGTATAACTGTCTTCGAAAAGAGTCTTACGTGTGACCTATACCTATGCTTAGACTGTTGGTAGGGTGGGGGGAAGGGGAGCGGGGTTAGTTAACATCCAAGACCTGAAACAGGTGGCAACAAACCGCCAAACCTGGAGTGCTGTGACCTCTGCCTTATACGTCGTCAAGGCTCAAAAGGAAAGACTAACTAATCTTGTCATAATGCAGCCACAACAGCTGCTGGCACAGAAATTACACCTACAAAGATACTACTTACAGCAGAGGCTCTCAACTTGTGGGTCGGGACCGTTTTGTGGGTCGAACGACCCCATCACAGGGGTCGCCAAAGACCATCGGACAATACATATCTTTTTAAGTTATGCAGTAGCAACAAAAATATTTGCATGGATGGGAGTCGCCACCATATGAGGAACTGCATTAAAGGGTCGCTGCATTAGGAAGGTTGAGAGTGACTGACTTAGAGCTTCAATTTCAAAGACAACGGATCATATGGTTCGTATGTGTGTCAGAACTACCACCTGATAGTGCACTATAGAGTGCCCCGTCACTTTGACATAATTAACGCAAGCGATGGGTAGATAAAATTTCTGAGGCCGTAAATACCAGCGTTTACGTAGTACATACTAAATCTAACAGCAGATGCGTCTTCAAAACCTGACGCTGAAAGGCAGAATAAGACTAGAGAAGAGGTTTAAGGTTTGAACAACGGATCAACATCATGGCACATGGGTAGTAACCCATAAGTGCTCCGTTCTTCTTCTAACTCAAGTCTGGGTACGAAGAAGCTCAGCGCAGTACTCAGGATCTGTAGCATCGGCGAGGATCCTGAAATATTTTGGGCAGATTTTTAACTCAAAATTTTGCCCAGGCAGCGCCGTTAAGCTACTTCTTTCGATTTCCAGCTGCCAAGGGATTTTTTACGTTGACAGGCTGGCGACTAGCTCGTTGGTTCTTTGGTTTGTTGACTGGCTGGTTTACTAGCTCGTTGGTTCTTTAAATGGTTAACTGGCTGGCTGACTAGCTCGTTGGTTCTTTAGTTTATTGACTGGCTGGCTGACTAGCTAGTTGGTTCTTTAGTTGGTTGATGGTTTGGCTGACTAACATGTCGGTTCATTAGTGGGTTGATTGGCTCGTGTTGCTTCTTTAGTAGGTGGATTGGCTGGCTAACGTGTCGGTTTATAAGTTGGTTGATTGGCTGGCTAACGTGTTGCTTCTTTAGTAGGTGGATTGGCTGGCTAACGTGTCGGTTTATAAGTGGGTTGATTGGCTGGCTAGCTTGTTGGTTCTTTAGTTGGTGGATTGGCTGGCTGACTAACATGTCGGTTCATAAGTGGGTTGATTGGCTGGCTAAAGTGTTGGTTCTTAGTTGGTGGATTGGCTGGCTGACAAGCTCGCTGGTTCTTTAAATGGTTGATTCGCTGGCTGACTAACTCGTTAGTTCTGTGGCTGGTTGATTGGGTGACTGACTAGCTCCTTGGTTTTATAATTGGCTGATTTGATGCCTGACTAGCTCATTAGTTCTTTGACTGGTTATCTGGTTGGCTGACCTGCTCGTTGGTTCTTTAATTGGTTGATTATCTGGCCGATTAGCTCTTTATTTCTGTGGCTGGTTGACTGGCTGGCTGACTTGCTCTTTGGTTCTTTGATTGGCTGGCTGACTAACTTGTTAGTTCTTTAGTTGGTTGACTGAATGCCAGACTACTAGCTCGTTAGTTTTTTGGATGGTTGTTTAACTGCCTGATTTGCTCGTTTAGTTCTTTGGATGGATGATTGGCTGCCTGACTAGCTCGTTAGTTCTTTGGCTGATTGACTGGCTGGCTATCTCTTTGGTTCTTTAGTTGGTTGACTGGCTGCCTGACTAGCGTGTTGGTTCTTTAGTTGGTTGACTAGCTGCCTAACTAGCTCGTTGGTTTTTTAGTTGGTTGATTGGCTGGCTATCTCTTTGGTTCTTTAATTGCTTACCTAGCTACCTGACTAGCTCCTGGGTTTTTTAGTTAGTTGACTGGCTGCCTGACTAGCTCGTTAGTTCCTTAGTTTGTTAACTGGCTGCCTGACTAGCTCGTTAGTTCTTTAGTGGGTTGACTGGCTGCCTGACTAGCTCGTTTGTTCTTGAGTTGATTGACTGGCTGGCTGACTAGTTCATTGGTTCATTAATTGGTTGACTGACTGGCTGACTAGCTCGTTGGTTCTTTTTTTTTTCTTTTCTTTTTTTGATCTACTGGCTGGCTGACTAGTTCATTGGTTCATTAATTGGTTGACTGACTGGCTGACTAGCTTGTTGGTTCTTTATTTGATCGACTGGCTGGCTGACTAGTTCATTAGTTCTTTAATTGGTTGACTCCCTGGCTGACTAGTTCATTGGTTCTTTAGTTATTTGGGTGCATGAATAGTTCATTGGTTCGTGTAACAAGACCTAGTGGGTAATTATAGGTCTCATTAAGGGTAGCAAATAGCAAAAAAAAAAAAAAAAATGAAACACCAATTCCTTTATGATATCATTTGGTCTTGTAGAACAGTCAGCTGTGACGCATGTTTAAAAAATGTTTTTTTCTACCAGCATTTACAGTTTGGAAAGCCATGGGTATTTCAACTTTATTTCACCCCAAGCAAACCTGGTAGCTATATTTAGGGTAGCTGTATTTAGGGTAGCTATATTTAGGGTAGCTATATTTAGGGTAGCTATATTTAGGGTAGCTATATTTAGCACGGTTAAGAGTTTCTGATTAGGGTTAGGTTTAGGATCTGGATTATCAAAACATACATTATATAAAGAAAAAAACGAAATAAACCACGTAAGAAAATACCTTGATGTCAGAAGATGCGTTTGGATGACCACTGGAGCTCCCTGATTTCCCTTTGTTTGGGGTTAATTAAAATTGAAACAGCAAACCCTGCTGCAAGCCACAGATACCACCATTGTCAATGTAACTTTTGTTTTCTTTGTATATACCTTCTTTACTTCAGTGTTTTGAGAACCACTGAAATAAGCTATGACATTTTATGTGAACTATGACACTTTACGAAAACTATGACACTCATGTAAACTATGACACTTTAAGTAAACTAAGATACATTACGTAAACTAAGACACTATGAACTATGACGCTTTAGGTAAACTATGACGCCTGACGTAAGCTATGAAAAGTTACGTAAACTATGCCACTTTAGGTAAACTATGACGCCTGACGTAAGCTATGAAAAGTTACGTAAACTATGACACTTTAGGTAAACTATGACGCCTGACGTAAGCTATGAAAAGTTACGTAAACTATGACACTTTAGGTAAACTATGACGCCTGACGTAAGCTATGAAAAGTTACATAAACTATGACACTTTAGGTAAACTATGACGCCTGACGTAAGCTATGAAAAGTTACATAAACTATGCCACTTTAGGTAAACTATGACGCCTGACGTAAGCTATGAAAAGTTACATAAACTATGCCACTTTAGGTAAACTATGACGCCTGACGTAAGCTATGAAAAGTTACATAAACTATGCCACTTTAGGTAAACTATGACGCCTGACGTAAGCTATGAAAAGTTACATAAACTATGCCACTTTAGGTAAACTATGACGCCTGACGTAAGCTATGAAAAGTTACATAAACTATGCCACTTTAGGTAAACTATGACGCCTGACGTAAGCTATGAAAAGTTACATAAACTATGCCACTTTAGGTAAACTATGACGCCTGACGTAAGCTATGAAAAGTTACATAAACTATGCCACTTTAGGTAAACTATGACGCCTGACGTAAGCTATGAAAAGTTACATAAACTATGCCACTTTAGGTAAACTATGACGCCTGACGTAAGCTATGAAAAGTTACATAAACTATGCCACTTTAGGTAAACTATGACGCCTGACGTAAGCTATGAAAAGTTACATAAACTATGCCACTTTAGGTAAACTATGACGCCTGACGTAAGCTATGAAAAGTTACATAAACTATGCCACTTTAGGTAAACTATGACGCCTGACGTAAGCTATGAAAAGTTACATAAACTATGCCACTTTACATAAACTATGACACTTTACGTATACTTATGACACTTTATGTGTAAACGTAATTGGTTTCAGACAATGACGTCATGTCGACACCCAAACCGAACCTAGTCAGACGAGGAGCTATGAAGCAGCAGAAAGTTCACGAGGTTAAAGGTCACCACTTCATTGCCAAGTTCTTCAGAACACCAACGTACTGCTCGTTCTGTACAGACTTTTTATGGTTAGTTACGTTAATGCCTTTTACGCACGACTGTCAGGAGCCACCATGGTCTATCGGCTAGACGCTTGTAAGGTCGTGGGTTCGGATCCTGACAGGGACCGAAATTTTTTCAAAAAATGACTTTGGCTCCCAGGTTGACCCAGCCTTGAGTGGGTACTAAATACCGTTCTGGGAAGTAAAGGCGGCCGGTGTGATGCTAACCACATCGCCCATTAGGTGCTGTTTGGTCTATAAAAGGTAGGAAAGCCCTGTTTACCCACTAGGCCTGAATGGTGGGGAAAATGTTATTTTAATTGTACGCACGACTGTAGTGTACCGAGAGAGAAAGAGAGAGAGAGAGAGACGTAGTGGTTTAGCGACTAAAGAGAGAGAGAGAGAGAGAGACGTCGTGGTTTAGCGACTAGAGAGAGAGAGAGAGAGACGTCGTGGTTTAGCGACTAGAGAGAGAGAGAGAGACGTCGTGGTTTAGCGACTAGAGAGAGAGAGTAGTCGTGGTTTAGCGACTAGAGAGAGAGAGAGAGAGAGAGAGAGAGAGAGACGTCATGGTTGAGCGACTAGAGAGAGAGAGAGAGAGAGAGAGAGAGAGAGAGAGAGAGAGAGAGAGAGAGAGAGACGTCGTGGTTTAGCGACTAGACGCTCGCCTCCTAATCCGAAAATGTTAAAGTCGAAAGGATCGACTTCATTGCATCGGGTTTTATGCAATTTGGCACCGTCTCTTTCCACAAAACGGCTTTCCGCCTGCCGAGAGCGCTGCGCGGAGGACGAACTCCGTACTTCCTGCGACGATCCCCAGTGATCTCAGTTAAAAATTGCACTCGTTAACTGAAGGGCGCCACTGTGGAACGAACCCACTATCTTCAGAACGCGTGGCAAACGACTTGACCACTTTGCCACAGAGACCCCCCCCCCCCCTTCCCCAATACTAAGGATCCGAAAGTCGTGGTTCAAATATGAGTGGATCCGCACTTTTTGTTTTAAAATTACCACAGGGTAATGGGTAAAGTCTTGGGAAGTAAAGACTATATGCCCAAAACTCCTGAGAGCCGGGAAGAATGCCCTTTATCGCTGGCCTGTCAAACTGGCGTTCCGCGGGCCGCATGCCACCCTTTTGTATTTACACATCTGGGCACGCAGGAGTAAATGGCAACAAAAGAGCCGACCAACTGGCAACTAATGCACCAATGCAAATGGGAAGAAGCATGGACAAGGCTTATATCATCAACGCTGTACGGACTAGGTTTGGGAAGGGGGAAAGGGGGGGGGCGATTGCGAATCGCTGATGCTAACATGACTGCGTGACCGAGGAGTTAAGCCTGGCGAAGCACGACTATGCTGTCTTCGAGGTAAAGATAGGAAACATTGTAACAATTCCTCATGTGAACAGTAAGTAGAGGTACCTTGGAGTGGCTGCTGCGTTTGATGACTGAGCACGCATGGAGATGCCCAGTGTACAAAGATGTGGATTTTTATATACATGTATATATAATTTTACTTACCAAAGAGAACCAACGCTTGGTTTCTGTGTTCTGAGGCTGATGTAATTTGGTTGATTGTCTGCCCGTCTTTTCTTGCAGGGGCTTAAACAAGCAAGGATACCAGTGTCAACGTAAGTATTACACTTGTACTCATGTGTGTTTGTAGAACATCTGCTAGGCTTCTTGTGAAAAAGTTGCATTGTCTTGTGGTTTACAGCTAGGCTTTGAAATCTGCGTTTTTGTGTGTGAGTGTGTGCTTGTGCGTGTGAGTGATGCAAACAATTCAATTTCAGCCTATTCCTAAGTTACCTTTTGCGACATTCTTGTAAAAAAAAGGAAAGGGCGTGGGAGAGGGGGTGCGCTATATTATACCTCCAAAATGGGGCCGCGTATCTCACTCGGAAAGGGGGAGTATAGAATATCAGTGCAGGTTTGTTCCTATGCATTTCTATGATTTAACGGTTTCACAGCCTGAATGGTATAAAGCTTGCCTCTCATGTGGGGGACCCGCATTCGGCCCCTCTATAAGATGATGACACTTTGTGCATTGGTTCATCGTCGATCGCGACAGAATTTCGGTCTGTCTCCTTTGATCAAATCAACACCACTGAAGTCTTTTTCAAGACTCTTGGTGGCGTGCAATGCTAGGCCATTTTATAGGGCGCACATAACCTAGTCACAATTATAACCTAAAGCTCCTCCTTCGGGAATGCTGCGGGAACTTGATGATTTTTTTTTTTTTTATTAAACAGAGCAAGACAAAGTTTACAAAGTTCAAGGATCAAGCAGAAACAAATCCCGAAAACCCCAGAAACTCCGCAACCTTCTTACTCTTCCTTGCACTTCCTTATTTGTCGTCTACCTGATACTTATTTTGTTCACCGGCTGTAGGCTCCGGCGTAAATTTCTGGTTGTTCGTCCATTTGGACTTTGGCTCTTGTGCTAGGACCTGAGTTTTGCGTGTACATCCGTTTTACTGGCTTATGTGCGCAGCTGGTTGTTCCTTGCCGCTCGGGAAAATGCACTTCGACTTTGAAGGAAGTCTTCAATTAGTCGACTCCTACGACATGCTTCTTGAGGAGACTGTGGGTCTATTATTTTTCCCCCACAATGGGGTGCAGGAACCCACAGAAAGAGTTCTACATTAAAATTATGAGGTTACAAATAGTCTGCTATGGGTTGGTCTTGTCTGTGTGTGTGTATGAGTATGAAAAATGAAGTATCTGACATTGCTCCCCCCCCCCCCCCCCCCCCCCAACCCCCCATTTTCCCCCTCACCCGCTTGTTCTATTATAATGCGAATGAATAAATTCATGAAATGACGCATAAAACACAGTGGTCTGCATGATTCGCCACTTTTTTTTTTTGCGTTTTGTTATGAAAATTGATCGCTGAATTTCAGAAGGGATCTCTCCTATTTCACTAATTTTTTTCGGTGTCTTTGTTATTTTCTTCCTGACAAATTTCCCCAATAAATAAAATTGTTTATGCTGGTATTTTTTCTGGCTCTGGCTTGACAATGATTCATTTTTACTGCAATTCACTTCTCTCTCTCTCTCTCTCTCTCTCTCTCTCTCTCTCTCTCTCTCTCTCTCTCTCTCTCTCTCTCTCTCTCTCTCTCTCGCTACCTTTTTGTGTGTGTCTCTGTGTATGTGGTAGTATGTGTGTTTGTGTAAGTGTGGTGTTATATTCTGACAGACTATTGTTTGTCCTACTTTTGATGTCTTCCCACTTGTGTTACCGTTTACCTCTTGTTTTCTTCCCTTAAATGTTATACTCCAGTTTGGATGTTATTTTGACATTAACTGTTGTATCTACACACGAGTGACCATCTCTGTTATCGTCAAATTATTCTCTCATGTATTCTAACAATACACAGGTGGCAATATTGTCGCATCGAAATTTTTAATTCTTACCCCAAGTGTGTATTCGACAACGCCTTGCTGGCATAGCCCTTAATTTCTTCTACACCATTTCTATTAAAGTTGTTTTGATGTTATTTTGATGTTCTAATTTTTTTTTTCTTTTCATTGCTTATTGAGGCATTTCTCTTACCCTTACTTGAATATTTTATTGATTCTCTGAATTGTTATATATTTTGTCATCACTACTTTTCCAGTCTTTTTGAATCCCTAAGATCTATAATTGTTGTTAAAATGAATATTTATGTTTTATTTTCATGCTCGCGTGTATAATCTTTCTTGTGTATCTTAGTCTATCGGATGCTTGCCGGCTCTCCTCTTTTGAAGTGTCTTATTGGATTATCTATCGTCTTTGCTTCTTGTAGATTTGATAAATTTGTTAAAGAATTTTTAAGTCAATTTTCTTCTTAATTTACCTCTGCCTTTATAACCCCTAGCGGAGCATAGGCCCTCAACCAACTCACACCAAGTCATTCAATCCTTTGCCATCGCATGCAGCTCTACCTATGTCCTCCCCATCTTTTTAACTGCAATTTTTAGCTCCCTTCTCCATGTTTGTTTGGGGGGGGGGGGGCTGGGGGTGTCTTCCTTTATTTCTATACCCCTGTGGGTTCCAGTGCAAAGACATTTTAGTTATATTACTCTTAGGTTTTCTCAACCTGTGTCCTATCCAACGCCAGCGTCTTTTCTTCACCTCTTTGTCGACTTTAACTTCTGTATGTCTTTCCCAAAGCTCAATGTTAGTGATTCTACCATACAATTGCATTCCCTTTATTTTGCACAGGCACCAATTTTCAATCATTGTATTCTGTACTGAACCTCTGTCGTTTTCGTGTGTTTCTTGAGATTTAGCATATGAACAAAGTAAGATCAATCTGCTGCCAGCATTGATTTCGGTGATCTAACAGTGTGATGAAGTTTAGCTGAGTTAAAAGCCATCATGGAAGTTGGTACTTTCCATAACGAATTGAATAATTCATAATATTTAACGGCCTCAAAGGTTCCCCCTCTGTTAATTTATAGGTACTTCCCATAAGCGCTCCGTCCCCATCTTCAGCAGCGAGTGCAGAGTTCAAATTCCCATGGTACCAGTAGACACACTCCGAAAGCATGTTGAGAAAGGCGAACACAGGGATACTTTGAGCGAAGTGGCAAGCTTCACGAGTTGTGAGCATAGCTTAGATCTTTTCTCCCGGCTCTAACAGCGTGGTGGGGAATGAACAGGCAGACAGACTGACTGGATCTGCACCGCTGGGTGGTGAACTGATACATAACAAGGCAGATGTGGTCAATGCCCTTTGGGAACAAGCACGAAATCAGTATAGAAACAAAATTATTATGGCCTGGAGAGAATGAGGCACCTGGGTGTAACCACAGGTCTGGCCGGCTCACTACACTGTGAGAAAAGGGAAAACATTTAACCAGATTGTGCCCGGTACCATCAGTATTGGAACTCTGCGCTGGGTGCTAAAGATGAGGACAGAGCACGCATAGGAATGCCCCGAGTGTCGTGATGTCAGTGCTTGACTTAACTCAACTGTTTATCGTATGGAATTATTCAAAGGTTGCGTTCCTTTGCACTCTTCTCCCATTTCATCTCAGTGTATATTTCATGAGGAGCGGCTGGCCGAGCAGTTAGAACGCTGCGATCTCAAGCGGGAGACCCGGGTTGGAATCGTCGCTGAGGCTGGGGATTTTTCTGTCCGGTGCAAAATAAAACGCCCACCTGCACAGTCATGGCGACAGCACTAGCCATGCAGGCCGTAAATTCTCAGGCCCAAAGACCCCTCCACCCCCCCCCCTTTTTTTCCCGCCTACACAGTAAAAGTGGTTTAATTAAGGCAGTAATTGGCAGTTTATTTTACTCTCCTACTTCAGTCGGACATCATGGTGTTTTATCTACTTTTGCCATGACATCCATCATTACAAGTTATAAGTTCGATAATTTTAGTAGGCTTATAAATGTGTCTCACTCTTTTTGTTGTTGTTTTGGTTCACTAACTGTGAATCCCGGCTGAAAGTCCTGGCTGTTCGTCCATTCGGACTTTGGCTTTGTACCAGGAGCTGACGTCCTAATGGTCTATCAACAAGTTCTGGGGGAAAGATCAGCAATAGCATGAAAATGGTCTTTTCTGCCTACTCTTACAAAACCTGCATAAAGGATATCGATGATTTACCTAATGACTCATTTTTTTTCTGTTCACAGTCTGCAATTGTGCAGTTCATAAAAAGTGTCACGAGAAGATCCTCGGTAAATGTCCTGGCAGTGCCAAGGACAGCAGAGAGACCATGGTATTTACACATTCATTTATGTTTTGATGTTTAAAAAGAAAATGGGGAAATGTGGTTACATTATCACTTGAAGTGTCTTTCATGTTAAAGACTCTTCCAGCCGTGCGAAGAGAACATTAGAGCAGTGCTCAAAATATGCGTCACTGACGATGCTCATAATATGTTTACACTTAAATTTCCTCTTCTTCGTCGTCGTCTTCTTCTTCTTCTTCTTCTTCTTCTTCTTCTTCTTCTTCTTCTTCTTCTTCTTCTTCTTCTTCTTCTTCTTCTACTTCTTCTTCTTCTTCTTCTTCTTCTTCTTCTTCTTCTTCTTCTTCTTCTTCTTCTTCTTCTTCTTCTTCTTCTTCTTCTTCTTCTTCTTCTTCTTCTTCTTCTTCTTCTTCTTCTTCTTCTTTCATCATCATCATCATCATCATTAGCTTATTGTTAGCAAAGTAAAGATCCCTTTTCAAGCCTTTAGGCGCATCGGGCGTATGGGAAGAGCACTCATGTTGTTACAGACCAGTCGGCACTAGGTGGGTAATGTGGCCAGCATTACGCCGGCGGATCAACTTATTATTATTGTGTTTCTGCTGTTGCTGCAACTACTATTACTAATGTTGCTGCAACTACTATTACTAATGTTGCTGCAACTACTATTACTAATGTTGCTGCAACTACTATTACTAATGTTGCTGCAACTACTATTACTAATGTTGCTGCAACTACTATTACTAATGTTGCTGCAACTACTATTACTAATGTTGCTGCAACTACTATTACTAATGTTGCTGCAACTACTATTACTAATGTTGCTGCAACTACTATTACTAATGTTGCTGCTGCAATTACTGAATTAAAGTAAAGGGCCCTTACCAAGCCTTTAGCTGTATTGGACATATAGGACCAGACCTATATTTTATAGACCAATCGGCATACCACTTTACTTTCCAGGACTGTCCTTGGTACTTACCCAAGACTAAGTCGACATGAGAGCAAAGGTCATTGGCGAAATAAAAAGTCCGGCTCCATAAGAATCTGAACCCATGACCCTCCGATCCGCAGCTGCAACTACTACTCTCCTTTATTCCCTATTGTGTCATCTTCCATAGATGCTAACGGAGAGATTCAACATCAACGTACCCCATCGTCTCAGAATCAACAACTACATGTCTCCCACATTCTGTGACCACTGTGGCTCTATGCTGTTTGGGCTCTTCAGGCAGGGCCTCAAATGTGAAGGTAAAGCTGGACGATTGTAATACATCTAGCTGTGTAATTATCACTATCACCAATGTTGTATCAGACGTTAATATCATCATTATTATCGTTATAATCATCTTCCTGCAGGACAGTGGTTCTTAAACTTTTTAGTGCCGTGATCCCCTAATACAGTTCCTCGTGTTGTGGGACCCCAAACAATGACTTGATTTTCGTTGCCTCTTGATAACTTCAAGGAATATGTTTTCCGATGGTATTCGGCAACCCCTCTCTTGATAACTTCAAGGAATATGTTTTCCGATGGTATTCGGCAACCCCTCTCTTGATAACTTCAAGGAATATGTTTTCCGATGGTATTCGGCAACCCCTCTCTTGATAACTTCAAGGAATATGTTTTCCGATGGTATTCGGCAACCCCTCTCTTGATAACTTCAAGGAATATGTTTTCCGATGGTATTCGGCAACCCCTCTCTTGATAACTTCAAGGAATATGTTTTCCGATGGTATTCGGCAACCCCTGCGAAAGGGTTTTTCGACGCTCCTCCATCTCCTAAAGGGGTCACGACCCACAGGCTGAGAACAGCTGCTATAGGACATACCATCAGGTGTTGGTAATCATGTCTCTCCACGCCCGGCTCTCTAGCGTAGTTGGTTAAACCTGACGTTGCGGTGACCGGGTGATGAACTCCTTGTGGCCGGGTTCACTCCCAGGGGTAGGCAGAAAAGCCACATTTCTCCCAGATTTACGGTACCTATCATGAAATCAAGGCCGAAGAGTTGCGATATCCATAGTACCGAGCCAAAGGGTTAAGAACTCATGGTTTCTGGATACTAAAAAAAAAAAAATGTCCCACCACAACCTTCTTTCTCGTGTACCTTTATATTTCTGACAAAGATCATGTTCGGTTGTTTCTTTTTCAAGTCATGTTGGGAAAATGTATGCTTACATAATAGAAACGAGGCTGCGGTCAGTGATAGATCCACAGTTGACAGAAGAACAGATCGGTTTCAGAAGACATAGAAGCTGCACATGTGCAATCTTCACACTTAAACAGTTAATACAAAAGAACATCGAATATGATCAGAACTTATTTGTAGACCAAGACTAAGTTTTCAACAGTGTCGACAGGTCGACATTATGTAAAGTAATTGCTCGATATGGAGTAAGTGAACACCTCACTGAAGTTTGCAAAAGCTAATATAGAAATTGTAGAAGCGTAGTTAGAATAAATCAGGGAACATCCAAGCCATTCAAAGTAAAATCTGGATTAAGACAGGGATCCAACTTATCACCACTCCTGTTTGTCACCTATATTGACAGTATAAACAAAGATACCAAGCCCAGAAACGAAAATATTAGTAACATCAGTGAATTACTCTTTGTTAGTGACTAGGTCTTGATTGCAGATACAGCCACGAATTTGCAACAGCATTTCACATCTATGAATGAAGAATGTAAATCAAATAATATGAGAATCAACATCAAAAAGGCAGAATTAATGTCAAAAGGAAGAAAGAAGCAGAGTTTAAATATAGCATTAGAGCATACAAATATTAAACAGGCGTCTGAGTTTAAATATCTTGGAACATTCACTGAAGATGGTAAATTGATGAAGAAATTGACATCTGATGCAGTAAAGCATGTCAAGTATTTGGGACAGCTAGTCCTCCTCTTACAGCTTAAGGCAATCCCAATCAGAACAAGGAAACATCTCATACATTCACTCTCATTCCCACTCTATTATGTCAGTTCCAATCATCGTCAGTTATAACAAAACATAACACAAAATTAGTAATAATGAAAATGAGGTATCTGAGATAGACTATAGGAGTTATGAGTTATGAGTTAGATTATCTTCGCAGCACTCCGGACACATCCATAGGCACTCAGATTCCCCTCTCAACATATTCATCAGCGTCGTGCGGGTAATAGTACCAGTCCTGTGTTGGTTAACAATACTTCGTGTGCGTCAGGTTGCCTCCGTGTGCGTCCTGTTGAAGGTTGCTTCTTTGAATTCCATGCTTTGCTTCATAGATGGCACTTTTGTCTTGGCCGTAATAAAATCAGTCTCATTACTTAATTGTCGGACCTTGTATGTCTCTGTCTATTTTACCATTTTATGTAAAGAGGCTTCACAAGTACTTAAATTCTTGCACTTGTTTTAGACGTTGATTTTTGATCTTTATGTCGATGGTTTGTTGCTCTCTACTTATTCTCACTTCTGTTGTTTTTTTATATGCATCTTCAATGGCTGTTTAAGGCAATTGTCGTGTAGTTGGTTTATGTGGTCCTGCAGCGGTTTACTCTCACTGTGGAATATGCACTGATCGTCGCAAAGAGCAGCTCATTAAAGTCCTTCTGTTTATCAACATCTAGTGGTGTTATGCCTATTTGATTAATATCCATGGATTTTATAAAAAGTAAAGGTGAAGGAACACATCCTTGCCTTACTCCTGATGTTACTGGGAACCAGTCAGAGAGGCCAGCTCTTGTTCCCATGGCGCTTTCACTTTCTCTATAAATAGCTCCTAAATACTCTAGCATCGTTCCATTTATACCATAGTTGTTAGGGACATCCAATAGTAAATCTATATTAATACTATGTTTGGATGTCCTAATAACGGTGTCATTTGGTATAAAGGCTCCTTGGCATCTTGTTTCTGTTTCTTGATCTATTCTTCCGTCCTTTGACAATATACTTCATAGATATTTAATTTCTCTAGCTTGCTTTAGACAATCAACATTCAGTCCGATATGTAGTGAACTAGGAATTCTGCCGACCTGCATTACTTTAGTTTTGGTAGTAATTATGCTCATGTTATATCTTCTGCATGTTGAACTTAGCATGCTCAAATGGTTTTGCAGTTTACTCCCCTCATTGTGGAAAGGGGACTGATAGTCTGCAAATAGTAACTTGTTTGTTGTGTGTAGATCTAATTCTTCCTTTGGAAAGTAAAGTTCCTCATTTTCAAGATGCTCTGCGTCGACTGCTTTAAAGCTGGCTTCCTCTAACATTCTCTCTATGTATATCGTAAATGAGAGAGGAGATGGCATACATCCCTGTCTCACCAATGTATCCATTGTAAACATACTAGATATGACTTCATGTGTTCTCACTGCGCTTTGGGAAGTGTGGGCAGACTATACACTGTAAAGTTTACAAGGTAGTTATTTTTTGTTTGCATATGACATATTCTCAATGATCTCATGATGTTACTATGCGCCCCAACTCCTCAGTATGCGGCATCAACTGCCATAAGAAATGCAAACAGTTCATGCCCAATCTGTGTGGAGTTAACCAGAAACTGTTGGCCGAAGCTCTGCAACAAGTGAAAGTAGGCACTTCTCCCGCGGACAAGAAGAGATCACTTTTATCAGCGGACAGTGTAAGTTCAGTTAGTGTATTTTGTTAATTTATAAGTTACTACGAGGAAAAGTCAATAGGTAAGTCGCAAATGGTTATGGGATGGCAGGAAAATGTGTCATTAGGTGACAGCAACATCAAACCTGATGTCTCCATCCGTTAGGTGGCAATAGGTGCTGCATGCGCTTTTGCAACACAGAAACAAAATGGCAACTGTATTTACGGTGTGTACCCTCAAAGAACAAATGCTGTTTGTGTGTGTGTGTGTGTGTGTGTGTGTGTGTGTGTGTGAGTGTGTTTTTTTTTTTTAAGGGGCGTGGCAAAAAGGCTGTCTGCGAAGGACATTTATATGAAATTGTTTCCCGTTTATGCTTACAAATGTTTATCCCGTAAAGCGGTACACAGATTTAACCATTGAAAACCCACCTTGGAGGGAGACATTTCATCAAGGTTGCAGAAATTAAAAGTAGGGTGAAAATATGGTTTCGAAAACAGAGTACGCAGTTCTATGCAGAAGGTTTAGTAGTACTAATAAAACTTTGGGACAGGTGCATCAATGTTTGGTGGAAATAATGTTGAAAAATAAAGGGACAGTATATGTGAAAAATCAAAGGGTTTTCAAGCTGTTATCGTCTTTAGTTTTTGTAAACCACTATTTGTGACTACTTATTGACTTACTTATATCCACAAGAGAATGAAAGGGGTTTTAGATGTCTAATTGCTTTAATCAATGAATTGTTAGACAAGGCAGGTGACCCCTCCACACGATCTCTTCCTGGTGAAGAATTATTAAAGAGCTCCCACAAAATGTAATTCTAACAGTTTAGTTAAACATGTAGGAACAAATACACTTGGACAGATGATGTAGTATAAAACTTGATGTATTGATTTATTATACTAACAAACATTAAGATGGCATTTGTCATGTTAAAATAGTTTAACAACCAGGGACTGGCTGAGGTTATGATGGCAATATGTTGCTCCAAGTAGAGAACGGAGCACCTGAGGTTATGGTGGCAATATGATGCTCCAAGTAGAGAACGGAGCACCTGAGGTTATGGTGGCAATATGTTGCTCCAAGTAGAGAACGGAGCACCTGAGGTTATGGTGGCAATATGAAGCTCCAAGTAGAGAACGGAGCACCTGAGGTTATGGTGGCAATATGATGCTCCAAGCAGAGAACGGAGCACCTGAGGTTATGGTGACAATATGATGCTCCAAGCAGAGATCGGAGCACCTGAGGTTAGAGTGGCAATATGTTGCTCCAAGTAGAGATGGAGCACCTGAGGCTAGAGTGATGTTCTTATGATGATGATTAGATTATGAACAAAAATGATGCACGTAACTTGGAATCACTTAAAAAGAACCTCTGAGAGCCCTTGATTTGAAGCCCTTCTTAGCTTTTCAAAGTCTGCCGATCTCCCACGCAATGTAAGTTCGCACACGGGACCCACTGCTTCTCACTGCGGGCTGCGTGGATTTTTATCGTGGTATGGGACATCGCAGGTCGACCCAGCATCAAATGGGTACCAGGATGGCTGTCGTGGTGAAGTAAAGACGGCCGGCGTAATGCTGACCACATTACCCACCGAGTGCCAATTGATCTGTATAAATATGAGACGCTCTGCCCATGTGCCCGATGCGCCTTAGGCATAATAAGGGATCTTTACTTTTTTACTTACCCACTGCTTCTGACAAGGGCAGATTCGTCCTTGCCCCTGATGGGAACTGTGATAAAAGAAACAGGCGCATATGTGTAGTGTCTAGATTCTACTAGCACGCCAGTTAGCATATTTAAATAAAACAGATTTCATCTCTTCTCTTCACATTTTCTCCAGTCTGGTCTGAAGGTAATTTCTTTTGCCTTACACTGGTGTTTTTTTTTAGCCTGCCTTTCCACTTCAGTCCGGTCATGATAGTTGAAGTACTAAGTCTCTTCTCCGTCTTCACTCAGACTTCGAAACTGACAGACATTGATTTGTCATAAACAGATGCTAACAGATTAAATGCCGAAAACCAAAAATTATATATGTGCCTGCTGTCCTGAATATTCATATTTCCCTTGACAGTTATTCATAAATATCAATATCCAAGTCTTATTTTAACAATATGAAAACATACACTGAAAAACATGTAATACAAACATTCAAGAAATATGAATGTTTTACCAGCTCCCTAAATGAGATAGCTGAATCCTTACAAAGTCCTGTTTCAAGTAGAAGGTATATGTAGATAATGTAGGAAAGGTAGTACAGAATAGATTGACTCCTAATATATAAATAAAAGAGTGAAGATAATCTTTAATCATACCTGGGAAAATTTCAGCAATTTGCCATACACTGTAAATTGAAATAAAGATTCATAGTAGTACTAATCTTTCCCCTCCTCTCAATTTGCAGAGTAGCCCCTTCCCTTTATCTGTATCAAACTCATTCCTTCAGGAGAGGATTTAAACCACACCCCTAAGGTACCTTAAGACTACAGTTATCCTTTATTGTGCGTTTTCCATCAATTCTAGCCTACCCCTACTTTTCAAACATTATAAGGTGGAGCAAATCTAGTTCTACGCAGTGTCAAAACCAGCCAAGTGTGGAGATGCAATGTCTGGACTTTCTTGCTGGCCAGATGTTATTCCCCTCATTCTGCACGTTCAAAGGGCCCAGTCTGGCCTATTATGAAACATTTATGACTCTCTGGTTTTCCCTGACAAGTAATCTTAAGTCATGTTTGACAAAGACTTGTTGCTTTGTCTGGGCTAAGCACTGGAAACAATTTTAAAGCCCATATTGTAGTATTTGGGCTTCGTGCCTAGTAAATATATTCTTAGTTTACTGAACAAAAATGAAGTATTAAACATGTTAAATTCTGAAAACACTGAGGTGATTTCATCCCAGCGGTTATCTTCTTCTTCTTTCTTCGCGTTTAACAGCTGTTAACTCCAGCGGAATGTTCTGTTGTTCGTCCACTTTTGGACTGCAGTTTATTCCAGAACTTGAGTGTTGCTGATGCATCCGTTTGACAGATCTGACTAATTTGTATGCAGACTGTTGGATCCATGCCTCTCAGGCAGAAGCACTCCGGCTTTGAAGAAAGCTCCCAATTAGTCGACTGTGACGACATGCTTTTGAGTATGCGGTGGGTCTATTCTTGTTTTCCCTATAATAGGGCCCCGGAACCAACACGGGGAACACTGGCTATGAAAGCAATTATGTCCGAAGAACTGGCTGGAGAGAGACTTTACGTTGTTTCATGGAGAAAGCATCATTCTGTAAAGGACTTCTTGAGTGACAATGATGATGTTTTTACCACACACAAAACAGTGCTTAGTCTAAATGTACGAGTATTGTATGTCTTATTTACACAACTGTATCTTCTTCAGACTACAGTACCTCCAGATGATGAAGGTGGAGACAGCGACGACAGCACTAGTTATCACAGATGGGATACAGTTGAGCAACCAGATGATTCACTTCTGTCTGCGTTAGAAGTCAGGAAGTTCAAACCGGATGACTTTATCTTCATTAAGGTCTTAGGAAAAGGCAGCTTTGGCAAGGTTAGTCTTAAAGACAGTTGTAACTGTAGAGCAGGACTATTCAACTGGCGGCCCACGAAAGCTTAGCAAGTGGCCCACATATCTTTACAGCTGTATTGTGTCGTTATGTGGTCGTGGGGAGGAACAATTTGTGATCCATTGATAGATAGGTGGAAGTGGCTATTGACATTTTGTGTCCATGTAGAAGATCTTTTATATTTTTTTAGTAAAGTTAGTAAAGGATGATTTTCAAGCCAGTGAAACACTGCAAATGATGCCAGACATATTTGTATAGGCACTTAATTGGGGATAAGGCGGAAATCAGCCTTGCTGCTTTTACTTCATATGACATCACCCAATACCAGTTTAAGACTTGTTCGACCTAAAAGCCATTGTCATTAGTCCTCTGCGCATTGCTGGTTTTACAACAAGACCTTCATGCCGGTATGTGAGTGTCTAGCTACTACACTATTCAAGCTCCCTATTTGCTCAAATCAGGTTTGAATCCTCGGTAAGACACCACTAGCCATGCGGCCCTAAATCTGTCTATACCACAGAAGTGATATAATAAAGGCAATAATTAGCAATTTTTTTTTTTTTTTTTTAGGTGTGGCTGTTTACTGTTGTTGACACTTTCCCTCACCCCAGATGATAGTTTTATACTTTATTACGTAGATGCTGGGGAATTCCATTAATTCAGGTGATAGTGTTATGTTTTACTAACATGAGGCTTGGCAATTCCCTCATTCCACGTGATAGTGTTTTACTTTACTACCAAGAGGCTTGGGAATTCCCTCATTTCAGGTGATAGTGTTTTACTTTCCTATGGAGAGGCTTGGGAATACTCTAATTCCAGCTGATAGTGTTATTCTTTATTACGGAGAGGCTTAGGAATTCGTTCATTTCGGGTGATAGTGTTATTTTTTATTACGGATAGGCTGGGGAATTCCCTAATTTTAGGTGATAGTGTTATACCGTACCAAGAACGGTTTTGACCAAACTATAGGATGCATTGAAACCACAGCCCATAGAGATGGTGAGTGTGATTATAAGATCCTTCTGCATTTAGAAAAAGACGTCCACAGTTATATTGTTGGATTTTGAGGACCATTTACTGTTACTAAACATATGTTGTTAATGTTCTTCTTCTCAGAGACGCAGTGATCAAGCTTTCTGCGATCGTTTTTTTCCATTCTTTTATGCTGTATTCTGCCCACGCATCATAATCCCTCTCTCCACCTGCCTTGTTTATTCCAAAGGAAAAGTAACACCAGTATATATGTCGAAAAAAGCATGCTGCAGTTTTTTCGACAGGTTTTATTAACAAACATCCATTATTCTGTCTCAAAAGCTCATTAACAAACATTAAATTACCCTATCTCAAAGGTCCTTTTAGAAAAAGTTGTATTACTCAGTTTTCTGTGTTCTTTTAGCCATATCTCTAATTACATAAATTAGCGAACCTTAAAGTTCACTGTTTCTTTCATAGCATTAATAATTAAGTCATTCCTTTCGAACCTAGGGTAGTGCATAGGGCAGAGGTCATAGCTCTTCATGTTTGGTGGTTCGTTGCCACCTGTTTTAGGTTTTTGATGGTTGTTAGGCCCATGACTGAGCTTTCCCTGACGGTGGTTCTACACTGTGTCTCTCTCGGTCTTCCCCGTTTTCTTTTCCCTTCCGGTGTCCACGTGAGGGCTTGATTGGGGAAGTCTGGTCTTTTCCATTCTGAGTGTATGGCCGATGTAGTTCCAGCAGGACTTTCTTATAAAATTAGATACATTACCTTGCTTGGCTTCTTGTCTTATTTGCGTATTAGATCTGAAATCTGCCCAGTGGAGATTTAGTATTCTTATAAGATATTTGTTCTCGAAATTCTCTAATTCTTTATCTAGAGCTACCGTTGCTTTCCAGCTGTCGCATCAACAAGGGGGGAAATGATCCAGGAGATAAATGGCGCCTTCGCTGTTGCAACTAGTTGCCTTATAATGGAAACTGTGGCCGTAACAAGAGCATTAGCATGAGTTGGTACTCAAAAGTTCACACACGTTTGCATTCTTAGTGACTCGATGAATATGCTTTAAAAAATCCAAGCTGGATTTATCAGGCAAGACATGATTGCAACGCTTATCACTTCAAGAATAGCTGCCCTAACCTTCATCTTTGTGCCAAGTCATGAGGGTGTTCAAGGGAACGAGTGTGCAGACTATCATGCTGACACTGCGGTTGCTATGACTGGTCCAGCTGCACTTACCGTACAAAGGAGCGCGCCAAAGGACATGACTCTGTATCCCCGTCTAGAATGATGGCCATAGGGGGGCAGCCTAGAGCTGCAAGAAATGAACATTTCACTAAGGAGACAAGACGTTTCATTAACCAACACAGAATAGGTGTTCAGTCGTTTTACACTTGTGGAGTTTTGGTGGAAGAGATCGGAGCACCTATGGATCTCTCCTGAATGTTGTGATGATAATCCTTTCTAATCATTAATCACTAATCATCAGCAAGTTTGCACTGGAATCACCGAATTATCAAAAAGTTCCATTACACATTGTCTCTCACAGGTTCTCCTGGCAGAGTTAAAAGAGACTGGCACTTTCTATGCCGTTAAAGCACTAAGAAAGGATGTAGTCTTGGAGGATGATGATGTTGAGTGTACAATGATTGAGAAACGAGTGCTGGCTATTGGCTCTAAACATCCATTCTTAACTCATCTTCACAGTACTTTCCAAAACAAGGTAGGTTTAACTCATTATCTGTGTCAGTATTACCAAACATGTTGAATGTTGAATTAAGAATCGACATCACAGCACTCGGGACACTCCCATAAGTGCTCAGTCCCCATCTTCAGCAGCAAGGGAAGAGTTCCAATTCCGATGGTACCAGTAACCGTCTGATTGTATATATGTCGTCTCATCCTTTCCTTGAGTGTTGAGCGTCGGCCAGATTCCCTTGCAGCGCCATTCTCCTTAGACCGTAATGATCTATCTGCGCCTAAGCACTGCTCACCATTCCCAGCGGCCATTCAGTATTACTAAGAGAACATGAAATGTCCTTTTAATTTGTTTTAATTTATTTCTTTTTCTCTTCTGAAGCCAGAGATGTGCACTTCTTAAATTTACCAACTATCTCTGTTTGTAAAGAGCTGTCATGTTGCAACCCGTTCACACAGAAATATAACCTTGTGCTTAAGCTGGACTGAGTTGTCAACCCTTTAGGTCTAAGTTGAGTCCCAAGTCATTGCCCCCAAGATCCCAAGTTAAGTCTCAAGCACCAAGAATGCTTCCAAGTTGAGTCCCAAGTCAGCGCCCCCCCCCCCCACCTTCCCACCCAAAATTCAAAGTTAAGTCTCAAGCACCAAGAATGCTTTCAAGTTGAGTCCCGAAACAAGACACTTCATGTTTCAAGTAATTTGCAAGTTGTGCATGGGACAATACTTACCGTTTAATCAAAAAGCGTTAAAATACAGAATCGGAAATGGCGGTGCGAAAAATGCATTAACTATGTATAGAAGCAAAGGAAGTCAAATGTGAAAGCTTGGTAAACTAAAACAGAATTGGTACCTGTAAAGAACTCGGGCCCAGCACACTGTGCTGAGTAACGAAGTCAGGCCCAGTACGTTGTGCTGAGTAACGAGGTCAGGTCCAGTACGTTGTGCTGAGTAACGAAGTCGGGCCCAATACACTGTGCTAAGTAACGAAGTCAGGCCCAGTACACTGTGCTGAGTAACGAAGTCAGGCCAAGTACACTGTGATTGGACGTTTATGCGTCTTAACTTTTCAGATGGGTAAATCTAAGTCGCAGGGGTATCAGGTTGATGCTACGCTGTATTGCATCAACGGTCTTTCCGGCCACCACAAGCTCCCTATATTACAGGATGTTAGCGTTTTTAACGACCTCATAACATGTACAACTGGCCCTAACCACACACCCAAACCCCCACCCCACACACTGAGCCTAGGTCCCACGAGAAAGTGCATTCTACGCCCTATGGTTTTATACGTCTTAACATTTTGCGGTTGGCCCACGACTATCATTAACGCACTACCAACCACTAATTATGCTTACCACTGAAAACGTAATGTCGGCGGCCTCTGCTCATAGAACAGCGATTAACACGGAACGCAGAAAGCTTTCTGAAGACGACAGTACACCTGGACACCCCTCTAACGCAGACCAGCCTAAGCAAGTGTCATTGACAGGTCAGCTAGTGTGTAGTTGGGCCCGAGTTCGTTACTAGTAATTTAGAATTTATTCTTTTCTTCTTCTTCTACTTCTTCTTCTTCTTCTTCTTCTTCTTCTTCTTCTTCTTCTTCTTCTTCTTCTTCTTCTTCTTCTTCTTCTTCTTCTTCTTCTTCTTCTTCTTCTTCTTTTCTTTGTTCATTAACTGTAAGCTCTGGTTGAAAGTCTTGGCTCTTCGTCCACTTGGTACATGGCTTTGTGCCAGGGCTTGAGTGTTGCGTGTGCATCCATTTTACTGGCATATTTGTGTGTAGTTTGTCATTCCTTGCTAATCAGGCAGATGCACTCCGACTTTTAAGTAAGTTCCCAATTAATCGACTCCTACGACATGCATGTTGGGTAGGCAAAGATTCAAAAACATTTCAAGCAAAACTAAGATTTCATTGCTCAGATCACTAGCTATTAGTGCATTTAC